CGGCGCGGGGCGGGGGTACCGGCGGCCCCCGGGGGGTGTGTGTGCTTGGGCACGCATTTACATTGCTGTTTGTGAGTCAGCTCTTCTCCGTCTGTCTAAAATTGCGGGTAGTGTGACACTGTGCGGGTGAAGCACAGGGAGGTGAAGAGGATCGTTTAGAAGAGCTTTCAATAATGTATGGGTGTTTAATGGCATCGTTTCATGCAGATCGTAAGGGGGACTTGTGTTACTGCCTCATTAGCACAGTCCTATTCCCTTGATCAATATGGATTGTGGTCGAGGCACTTTTTCCAGTGGGGAGTCTTTAAGATTGCTGGTATTGCCCTCTGAGCTCTGCTGAACACCAAAACCTTATTTCATTTCTTTTTTTTTTCTTGCCTCCTTAGCCCTTTACAGCTGAAGTGGACTTTGAAACTAGTTGCTTACTTCGCAGATATGAGTGTGTCATACTGCTTTCACTTCCAAACTTTCCTGATGATCTAAGAACTTAAATATGTCCTGGTAGCTATAGAATTCATGGAGCAGGTCAGAGATATTCTAGAGAAAAAGAGAAGAGTGGCTAGTGGTGAGTCAAGGTAACCCTGAACAAAAGCAACTATTTTTCATGAAGAGGGTGCTGGTGTTCCACAGTGAGGACCTCCTTTCCCACCTTGGCAAAGAGGACAGTTGGCTGATCTAGGTGCCAATGTAGTGACTGAAATGCTAGCCTCTCACCATTTGTAGAGTATTTTGAGCATCCTCAGGAAACAGGCAGGTATCTATTAAGGAGTTTGTCCAGGATCAAAGAGGGAGTCATTAGCTCTCTAGTAGTTACTGATCTTGTGCCGTATCGAGTGAAATTCAAGAGGGATCTACCTTAAAGTTATCTGTGAAAACACTGGTGTTGTGTGAAGAAGCAAGTAGTGGCCACAGGTGTGTTTTTTTGAAATGATAATTTTTGTTATGTCTTGTGTTACTGGTTGAAAAGGGATGGGTTGGGAATATGGAGTAGACAGGAGTACAGTTGCCCAAAATGCTGAAATCCAATCTTGGAATGTGATACCTAAACGCTTTCAGTCCTTGCAGAATTGAGGTTAAAGGCTGTGGCGTAATTCAAACTTGTTGTGTTTTACCTTCAGTGCCTTACTGTCCCATACCGTGGTTCTTGACCAGCTTGCTTTCTTTCAGAGGCTGTCCAAGCAGGAATTCTGGCAGCTGGTACACCAGAGCTATGGCTCTGAGCTGGGCCTGAACAGTGAGGAGATGGAGAGCTTCCACTCATCGTCTGAGGACAACGGGCAGTCTCGGTAAGGAGAGGCTATAAAGCTTATTGAAACTGTCAGAGAGGAGCAGTGTCCTCTGTCTTAGAAATACTTTTTCTAAAGTGCTGCTGTAGCCTTAACAGAAAGGTTAAGCCTGTAGGAAAAGGACACAAAGATCTGAACTGCATAGACTGAGTGTGCATGAAAACTTAATTCTGTTCATTGCCGAAAGTAGTAGGAACACAGCTGAGGCCCCAAAGAGGAGGGAGATGGGAAGACCTTTTTCTTTCTGGATCTGCTTGGGGCTGTCAGCATAGGATAGCTTAAATAGCAACCTTTTTCTCATGGTGGTGTCTGGGCAGGATCTGTGTGCCCTTCAACAGTATGGAAGGGCTGAATGGGATTGAGCGATGTATGATGTTCACTTTTTTTCCCCTCCTCTATGGAGACTGAAACACTTGTTTTGCTTTGTTCTGATGTCCAAAGTCTTAGCTTATTTTTGTGTTGTCCTCAGCTTGGATTAGGAAACTGGAATAATAATATAAGAAGCTTGAATAATTGTAATAGTAATGTGATCTTTTAAAAACAGTTGCCTTGATTTTTTTATTCTTTAAAATTTGTTTTTTGAACAAACATGAACTACGTTAGAAATTGTCAGAGTCAATCTAATAACAGGGTTCATGTGTCTATGCATGAATATGTATGACGCTACAAAACTGAATAATGTAATTTATGTCTCTTCCCTCTTGTGTTATCTGAGTATGTTTGTTAGAAAATTTTCTTATGTACACTGTAAGCTTCAAAAGATATCCTACTAAATATTTTCTGATTGGTTTTTGATGGTTTTTTTTGGTTGTTTTTGTTCTGTAAAAAAAATACACTACTTTGCAATTCAGGAATAAGAGATGCAAGAATAAAATTGTCTTCTCGTGCTTTCTTAAAACATTTTCTTTCCAAATTTGTTCTCAGCTGTTTCCTCTATTCCCACAGCACTCAGTTTCTCTGATTCACCACTGCTTGGTTTTATTAACCTTATGATCAGAAGCTGAATCTTCTGAGAGGTGGCTAGGGTGAGGAGAATGGCTGGAGAGATTAATGAGCTGGATGTGGGAAGAATGAGTTGGTAGCTTTTAATGTTAGCTGAACAGCCACTGTTTGAATGCAAAAATCACACAATAAACTTTCTCAGATTTTTCAGCACTTATATCTCCAAAGATATCTTCCTTTTTGCTTTGAACAGATCCAGCATTTGTGATGATCCTGGAGAAAGGGATGAAAAAGTACCTAAAATGATTGGCTTAGTTCGTGAACCCACGCTTCAAACTGAAGGAGAGTCACTTAGCAGACACACATTGCCAGGAGTAAGTGCTGACACAGCCTTTCTTGCTATTTGTAACTGATAAGCATAAATGGTTAACTTGTATGTCCGTAAGCACAGAATGTATGGGGATTGTAATTTCTAAAGAAGCCTTTGAGATTTTAAGAATATTTCCTGAATTTGAAAATGAACAAAATTCTGCATAAAAAAATATTGTTGATGTGAGTTTCAGCAATGTCCTGTCACTAATTCACTGCATAACCTAAATAGAATGTTGAGGCTTATGCCCTGGTCTTATTTTTTTTCTTCCTTTAAAAGCAAAATTAATCTTTCTTTGTATTACTTTTTTAATCCACCTCATAGAGGACCATATGTGTTTTTATCCAAGTGCTTTATGAAAGTAATGCCATTGTTTGCTTTCAGTGCTTTCTTGCTTGTGCTATTTGTCATTGAAAAAATATCTCCTCCTATATAACTGTCTCTCCTATGCATAAGGTTTATTAGGGGGTAGTTGTGCTTTGTTATCCTTGCATCCTTGCTGTTGTGAATTTATGAAACCCTTTTTAATTGAAATTTGTGGAAATGTTTCAGAAGGGGAAAAACCCCACACTTGCCATAATAAAGATGAGTTTTACCTTAATGCCTTGAGTTAGTACAACTGAACAAGCATGAATGCTTCACTCGTGGTGTTGTATGAATTTGTGAGTGTATTTGGCTGGTCGGGATGGCAAGTGCATTAGTGGCAGTATCTGAAATGGTCACAGTGTCTAGCACAATTGCTGGGACTCCTGTGTGTAGTTGTAGTCCTAAAAAGTTACAGACACCTTCTCTTGGTTAATAGGTACCCCAAATATCTTGTAAAAGCAGACAAATAGCTAAAGCATTTTTGTTAAACTTTGCAAGAACTGCATACCTAATTGCTGTTTTTGCTATGGAGAATTGAGGGAAGGAAGAAAGGAGATGATTGTATTAGTTTTTACTACTGTATAAATCCTCTGGCTTTTGTCACTTGCTAAAACTGATCTGAAGGTTAAGTAGGCTTTAAATAGTTTTGCCGAAATCCAAGTTAATGGCTAGAGACTTATATCCAGCAAACAATACTGGTGTTTGTCAGATGTTAAAAGTTTTGTTGCTTTGGTGATGGGTATCCCTCATGGGAAATAGCAGCGGTATAAAACAAGATTTTTGTAGAACTGTAAGGGAGGCCTGAGAGGACTGTGGATGCTGCTGAAATTTGGACACTTTATGATAACTAAAAATCTATACTGGTAGCCTTGGTTTGGATTTATATGTCTGATTTATACAAGAACAAGCCATTTAAAAATAATTGCTCTCCCTGGAAAAGAAGTTACACCTAGAGATGTCTCTCACAGGTGCTAAATCTAATTGGGCATGTTGGTAAGGAGGGATGTCTGGGGATTTGGTCTGTAAGTAAGGAAAAAAGCCAGGGTTCTCCCTTGAATAAACTGCCTTTAAAAAGTCTTTTATCATGTAAAAGTACAATCTCAATAAATGTGTAGCTAAACTGTTTAGTTGTTTCAGCATAGCTAAAATGCATAGTGATTGTGTTCAGCTCTGTGTCATTTGGCATTTCTCAAGAATGTCAGTGTTCTCTCCACAGCCCCAGGATTACAGCATATTTTGTAGAACCACAAGGGCAATAGGAGGAGGCAGTAGTGCTTAGAATGTACTTATCAAAAGTCATCACACTGACACAAAGCACAGTTAATCACCTTCCAAAGACTGGAAGGAAACAGGCTTAACCTCTCCTTTACTGCTCTGACAGAAAAGTAAGTCTCAAATCTTTGTTCAGAGGAAGATCTGAATGATGGGAGGGGTTGGGTGTAGTACTTGGCTCATCTTGGAAAAAGTATTGTCAATAGCTGTCCATAGTTGACTGAAGGAAGTCTGTGTGGAACAGCAGTCATGGCTCATCTGCTTCTCTAAGTGCAGTTCATCTTAATATGGGAACCACCTTACTGCCTCTATTTGCAACCATCCTCATCCCTCTACCCCTTGTAGGGAGGCCTTCCAGTCCCAGAACTTGCTCTTCACAGAATAAAAACCAGAAAGGCCTTGGCGCTGAGCTTAACAGTACTGGGCTAGGTCAGGAGATAAATGTAAATAGGGAGGAAATTGTACATCTATAATTCCAGCTGACAGATCTTAGTCATTACTCTAGTGTAAAAAAACCAAACAACAAAACAAAACCCAAACAACAAACCCAAACCAACCCCAAAACCTGAGAAAACTGTGTTTGATCAGTTAATCCAGAAGCCTCAGCATTCATCTCCTTTTCCATGGCATCAGGGTAGGAGCTGTTGCTCTTGTCTTCTGATACGAGCCTGACTTTGCTGCTCTGTGCATGGCATAGTAGGCTGCTCTTACACTGCTGATGGAAGCTGCTCTTGTTCACCAGATCTCTAATTGTCATTAAAATGCTATGAGAGTTCCTTGGATTTATGCTGGATCTGTGTGTTAATTTTTAGACTGTTCTATGACAACTCGTCCTTTCTGACTTCCATCTGTATTGGTAGAGTATTTCGACACGTAAATGTTGGTTCTGTCCTAGATCCTATTGTGTGACTGAGTATAACTTCAGGCATGGTAGCTCCTTTCAACAGGAGCATTTGTTAATTGATCTGCTTTTCTGATTCAGTCTCTCCCCCCCCCCCCCCCCGCCCCAAAGGAGTATTTTTATCTGCTTATACTGCAGTCAGATTCATGCCTGTCTCTCTCTTCCAGCCACCCACCTTCTGATAATGGCCCTTAGTTGCACAAAAAAAGTAAATGATCTTTATTTTGTAAAAAGCCAAAGAAGTGCAGGAAGTACATGATGACTATTCAAGCAGCGGATGCTTTTGCTTTCTTAAATCAGTTCTGAATAATCTTTAGGGATGATGTTATTGCAGATGAATCAGAACTCCTCAGCTGAGGAAGCCTGATCATATTTTTTTATGGTCCATATACTGCTGCATATGGGGGCTGTACTGCTCTTGATCCCAGGTATTCCACTGGCCTCCAGTGGATATATGTGGTGCTTGGAGGAGAGGTTTAAAATGAAAATGATGATTCAGAGCTGGTGGCCAATCTTTTTGGGTGGCATTTTGAGATCTACAAACCTTGTGCATACAGTTTCACTAGAAGTTTACTTCTTGAAGTGTGCAATGGCATGTATGCTTAGCCAACAGTTATTATAGTTGAGGGTTAAGAGCTGCATCATTGATTCAATGACTGATGTTCTGGGTGATTTCCTGCTTATGTATTGAAGATGGCAAATGGTACTCTATTGCTTTGTTTCTGAGAAGTAACATTTTATAGGTAGGATGGCTCTAGACAGTATTTTAAAACTCTCTTAGGTCAAAGGGTAATGGAGTTCTACAAATTAAGAACCTTTCAGATACATAATTGGGAAAATCTAATCGTCCTGAATGAGGGAAGCCCTGTCTGCTTCATTGTGCTTCCCCTCAAGACTGCTGGACCCTTTCTAAACTATCAGAAAAAAATTAACCTGATTGATGATAAATAAATCTGTGTTAGGTTAATGAATTTATGAATGTTTGCACTGATGCAGGGAAGAGGACCAAACCAAGCAGGTGAGTGTAAGGGGACTAGATGGGGTGTAAACTATTCCATTTAAGGCAGCTCTTGGTACCAACAGTACGTATGAATAAGTTTGTTCCTTGTTACCAGGGTTTAGTGAAAGATTTAAATAAAGAGGAAGGGAGGTTGGCTGGGGTAGAGGAACAAGAAAGAAAGTAGTGCTTGACTGTGTAGTAATTGAGTAGAGAGAACTTGTGGGTTCCTTTTATATGGCTTTCTTCTTTGAAAGTAGCTTTCTCTTTAGGGATTTTTTGTTTTTTTGAATCATCTGTGATTACTTGATTATTTTTTTTCTCTTGGTTGTTTCAGGTGGAGGAGTCCCCAAGTGAGAAGCAAATAAAGAGCCCTCTTCCATCTTCAGAAAGAAAACCCCCTAAGCTAGTCAGGAGCAAGTCTTTAGAAAAGTCCTTGGACCTTAATGAGAATGAAAATCTTCTAGAGAAGAGCAGTGCCTCAGATAGTGAAGAAGGTAAATCTCTTAACAACTGGAATCTGTAAGACTACCTGACTTCAGTGCTCCATCTTTCTCAGGGAGTAACTTAGAGAACTTTCCAGTCTTTTGATACTTGTTTGCTTATTTGTTTCACAGAATTGCAGCAAAACCATCTTTGTATCTTAGTTTCTGGTTCCCTAGAGGAGGGAAAAAAAAGTTCTTGGGTGTTTAGAATGAAAACAAACAAATTGTGGTTTTGCATTTTCTCCTTTGGGTAGAGAGTTGCTAACAGCTTAAACTAAAAAACAAACAAAACCCAACCAAAGTTTCTCGACAGTTGGTGGTGTTAGTTTACTTTCACATTCTCACAGATGTTTCAAAGATTTTTCTTTCCTTTGTTTGCATTTCTTGAAAATTGAGGAGAAACATCTTAGACTGTTCTTCAGTTCCTGAAAGATTCCACCACCCTCCCCACCTTCCTTTACACTTCTGCTTTCTTAAGGCTTATGGGCTTCAATGCTATCGATGGAGTAAACTGAGGAACTCAAAGTCCAAGCAAGATAACTTCTCAGTTTTCAGGGGAGTAGTGTGCATAATTTGATCTGATCTCATGATGAAAACCCTTAATGAATGTCCCTTGGAGCAGATTACACTTTCTGTGCCAACAGTTAGCATCTTTATTGATACTAATATTCCCAGTACATGATGAGAAGAAATGTGGCTACCACAGTAGTGTAGAGATCGTAACTCAACTGTTACGTGCTTCTTTTCTTGCCATAGGAGAGAAAAATGTATCAGTATCTCTCATAGTGGTTTTGATGAAAGCATTTTTGCTGTGTCCTCAGGAGAGAGTAAGGTCAGAGCATGCCTTCTGCCCAGCCTGGGTGACAGTGAGACTTGTGCCGAGGTCTGTGGGTACTTGTTCTGTGATCCCACAGTAGCCCCTGACAAGTTCTCACTTTTTAAGCGGAGCTTTGTAGTACCATGGGGAACTTCTCTGTGCCAGGAGGCTGTAGTAGTTCAAACAGCTTACTCAAGTTGTGGGGGGGTGTTCTCTTAAATATGCCAATCTTGGACTCTGTAAATGCCTTTAAAGCAAAGTGTGCACAACCTCAATTGGTTCCAAGGTTGTATGGTGATGTACAAATGAAAGGCAGAAAAGTTGAACAGTAGCAGTGTGCTCAGTAGCAGCTGAGTTTCTTTCATATGCAAAGAGATAACTTACTTTCATCACTTGTTGGCAGGAATAGAACAGTTCAGTTAATTAAGGCCAGTTCTTAATCTGGCTGAGCAATTTTACATCTTGTCCTTTCAGAGTTGACAACTGAAGTTGTTTGCAGGTGTGATTACATTGGAATCATTGAGGTGTCCAGGAAAGCTTTCAAAGTTAAGGATGGAATTGGCTGCCTGCAAGTTGTGATTTTTGCCTGGGGGTATACTTTATATTCAATTAGCTTTCCTTTTGCTCACCCATACAACTTCTGTGTTTGCTCAAGTTCAGATTCAACTTGATGCGTGTCAGGCTTTATCAGTTTTGTGAATATACCTACTTGAACAGGGTGCTGGTTATACCATACTCCTACACGCTTAACAAGCTTCACAAATTAATTTACTCCTTCTCAGGTGTATCTTTCAGAGCAGCAGAAAGTTTTGGCCTTTGGATGTTTTAGGTACCTTGCAGTTTTCCTGTCTTAGTACCACATCTCTCTTGTCTTTAGATTTTATTTTTTTATGGCAAAGTTGGCCAGTGAAAGTGATTGAAAAATAGTCCTGTGGCCTTTCATGCTGCTAGGTGCCTAAATGATAGCAGTAAATGCTCCCTGTCATCCCTGCATTAGTGATGTTGGATAAAGAGAGCATATTAAACTGGAGATGTCTCTTTAAAAAGACAACTGACTTCATGCTGCTTTTCTTATTTCTCCTCCCTCCCCCAAGACTAGCCTCTTTTTATTCAGAGCAGGATTTTCTAGACTCACAACATTAATCTTTTCTCTCAGATTCTTCATGCTTAGAATTTTTTCTTCTGTTTCTCTGTCTGTTTTCTATTGCAGTTGCCCCATACTCTTACAAGGTGAATTCCTTCACGCAAATGAAACTAGCTTTCCTACATGGCAAAGGTTTACCCATGCGATTAATTTCTCTTGTGTCCTCAGGCTGCCCATGGAGGTGTCCTGGCAAATAAGGTGAGGGGCAAGCTCAAGACTTTTGTTCTTCACAATGCTAGGTCCCTTGTCCTAAGCAGTTTTCAGAGTGCTTACTTGGGGATGGGGGTGTGCATCTCACTATGCACCACTGGCCTATTGACCTGCATTCTTAGTGTTTTGTCTGGTTTCATAAATTGGAGTAAAAATCTTGAGCCATGACAAACTGTTGGCTAAGCTGAGAATTAGTATCTGTGGTCTTGATTCTAAATTTCAGAAAGCACATCTCAGTTCAAGCGCAGAATACATATTTCCAAAATGGGACCAGGAGGTTTAATTTCCTTAAATGACTCTTTTGTTTGTAGGGTGGTTCATTTGTTGTTGGTTTGTTTTCAATTACAAAGTTCAGCAGCATGAAATACTTTCAAGAAAGAAGAGGGAAGCAGGAAATTGGAAAAGTCTTTTCTGTTAGAAAGCTTTACTGTATATGAGAACATCATAAATTTCTGATCTTGCATAACTTGACAGCTACTGTATTGTTTCTATTTGTACTAATAACCACCTTGAATATGTGGTCTGCAGGAGAGCCTAACTACCTGCACTGCAGTGCTGTGGCTTGACTTTCCTTGTAAATAAGGATATATGGGGCATAGAGTGCATGGCATACAGGGTGGTTGAAATTGGTTCAGCCCTGTGTTGATTGTTCCCCTCCCCACCAAGATATGAAACTTCGGATATGCAGCATATGTAAGAAAGAATAACCTGGTTATCTTGCTGGCATTTTACTCAAAATACCAAAAGGATGTGTTTTGTTGCATATATGTATATTGCTGCTTTGGGATTTGGAGGATATATGTTTGAGTTACCTAAAGGCAAAAGGCATAAGGTTGTCTATTTTCTTTTTTTTCTTTTTCTTTTTTTTTTTTTTTTTTTAAATCTTGTGAACTGGAAAAAGCTTTGTGACAAGACTTGCTCAGTACCTCTCAGAGTTAATTTTGTACTGAGTCTTTTAAATCATCAGAGAGTTCTCTGGAAATGGCTAATATTGCTGATGCAGTCCTTAAATAGATGATGTCTGGGAATTCAACTCTAGGAATTGGTTTTATTGACTTGATTTCAGGCATGTCTGGTTAAAAGCTCCTACCCTGCATATCCTCCATGAAGTGTGCAATTTTTTCCCATCCCCACTGATGTAGAAGTGCTCAACACTGCCAAGATTTACATATGTACTCTTTTTAAAAACCCTGATCCTCCCCCAACTCTGTGGAGTAGAAAAATCAGTCTTCATATTAATTTGTTTCATAGCCTTTGCTCTCACCTGTTCAGCTTTCTTAATTTGCTTGGGGTGTGTGTTTAGCTTTGAGCTGTTGGTTGTTGATGGGGATTTTAAGAACAATTTTTTTACTGCCCACTTCCCCTCTCCCTATATTCTGTCTCTTTTCTTGCACTGTACATGTTTTTTAAACCTCTGCAATCACTGCTGCATAATGGTATTAAATTCAAGCATTATTTCACAGCTTGTCTTGCAGTGATGAAAATGACCTTATTTAAGTGCAAGGCAATAGTGAGGGAGGGAATAGCCTTGCTGTCTTCAGACTGAACCAGGACGCTCTGGGTAATATGTTTACTTCTGGAATTTTGAGTCCCTAAAGCTCCTTACCTAAAGTCAGAATAAGCTCATGTTCTTTTATCAGACAGTTCCAATTCAGCTATAAATGTATTCAGGCTAAAAGACTTAGTGTTGATAATTGCATACTGCTGAGGGGTTAGAACAGCATTAAAAGTGAGGGAGTTAGACTAATATCTCTATATCTGCACAAAACATTTTGTTCATAAAAAGTATTTCTCAGCCAGTCCTAGGTGAAATGCTTGGTGTTCCTCTAGTATTGAAATAAAGGCAGATGCAAGTTTACCTGTGTGAGTTAAACAAAAGAAAACACCAGATAAACATGCATCTTCATTTGTAGCAGAGATAAGTGATTAAAGCTGGCTATTTTGTTCAAATTGCAAGCATATAAACTGCACACTTATTCTTTGCTGTGCTACTGGTTGTGCTTGTTGCTTTGTCTAGGATTTTTTAGATGAATTTTGAGAAGCACAGATGGAAGTGACTCAAAGCTTGTCCAGCTGTTAGTGCATGCAGCAACTCACTTCCACAGATGTGGAAGTCTCAGCAGTGTTTATACATGCACCTTCCAGACCCATTGTCTAAAAGACTTCTAGGCTTTCTGGAGAATGGCTGTTTGAACCCTAGCATCTAAAGTAGCTGATGGGCCTGATATATAAACCCAGTTTTGACTTGGGTTTCCTAAAAGTACTGTTTGTGCTAAAAATGTTTTTGTTTTCCAAGAGCTGAGAGGGGTTGTAAGTAAGAACACATGTCTCATGCTCTTGCTGCTTTGACTATTCCTTATTTAGAGACATGACTGGTTAGAAAGAGTATAGGTAAATCAGCTAACAGGAAGTTTTGTGTAGACCCATGGGTGCTCTTGCTTAAGACTCATACAAAGAGGACAAGCTTCATGCATGATGAGTGGAATAGCTCAGTTGCAAAGTCTGCACCTTAAGGAAATAATGCATGAGCTTTGTGCAGATCATAAGTTGCTGTGACTTGCTGAATTACCTTGCATCAGCAGAATAATAGTAGCTGCACTTGGGCATTTCAGGTGAACACAAAGTTGTGTCATTTAGGCAAAGTTCATCAGGGCAGGGAACTTGTATTATCTTGTATTTGCTAAGACCTACACAGATAGCTGACAAAGCTTATCTGGTGGATATTGACTTGATCGTGTTCTGGGCCTTTTGTTTTTTGTTGTTGGTAGCAGATTCCTTGGGCATGTCAAGGTCCAGCTAAGTAGTACTCAACCAGAGCAACCAGGTTTGAAATACCTGGTATCTGACTCTAAGCATGTTAGCTGTATGCAAAGGGGATGTCCACATCAGTGTCTGAAGCTTCCTGTCTCTTAGCAAAAGAGAGGAAGTGGGGAATGCGCTCTGAAAGGAGACGTCTGTGATGTTGATGTCTTGTTAACTGAGGTCAAACCTATGGTTCATTTGGCCTGCATTTTGCTGGAGTTAAGCTCAGCTGGGAGAGGAAGTACACTGAGCATAAGCTGAAAACTCAGGCAGAATTTTTAGCTTCCCACAGAAGCCAGAACAAAACCTTTTCAGAACAGCAGAATTTGTATTCTACATGTAATGACTGCACATTGACTGGTTAAGTAGGCCTCTTAAAATGCGTGTTTACTTTCTATCTCATCTTGTAGTTGTATAGAATTACAATTGCATGAGCAGAACATGGCATGGGAAGGAAGTCTATCTCCTGTGCAAGCACAAAATTACAGCACTCGTGCTTCACTTTTGGGGTCCTACATTGAAGCCTGGTTTGATCAAAGCGAACTCTTTTGGAGGCAGATGTGTAACAGGGACTTCTGGCAGGCTAGAAGCAGCACTAGAGCAGAAGTCTGCTCAGAGTCAGCATTGGGTTTCATTGGGGACTGTGTGGTGTTTAGTTGCTGCATTTGCATTTATCAATACTGACTTCTACCAGGCAGTAATGTTTTAAGTGCTGTAACCTTAGCTTGTAGGCAGTGTGTGCACTATAGCTGTATTTAGGCTGAATACAGATGATCAGGTGAACTACAGATGTTGAGGCTACCTTTGCTTTGGTGGCTTGCACTGACCTTTCCTAGCTCTGAGCATTCATTTGTATCAGTAGAAAGGTTAGGCATCCTGACTTCTATCTGTCTCCTGCAAGATTTGCTTTTGGGCTTTTCGTTTCGTTTTAGTAATGTGTGTGTGTGGGGGGTTTTGTTTGGGGTTTGGTATTTGGAGCATAGGATGAACTTGTTTCTAAAGCATAAGCAGACTGAGTTGGGGTGGCACAGGAAACTGCTTGCCCTCCAGGATGAAAATTCTGTCCTTTATCTCTTACAAGAGTGGCTGAGACAACCATAAAGCTGAGTCATGCCAGCAACCACCAAGAAGTAAAAAGCAAAGATCAGTGCTGCAGCCACAGAATACCACTTGGGTGCTTGGTGGTTTTGAAGGAGGAAATGGTGATTGAGCCTTTTAGTGCATTTTGGGGGATTGCAAAATGGAGCAGGGTACTTCTTGTGTTCCTTCTAAATAGGTATGGAGGGAGGAGCAGATTGAAAAACTGTTTATGAGTCTACCTGGTCTCTTAGGCTGTGGATACTACCAGTATTACAAATGTTAAAAGCAGAATTCTGAAACTAGCCACAAGTAAGGAGAAAACCTTAAGGTTTCACCATCCTGCTTGCTTGTCCTTTGTACAATAGGCACACATATTAATGAAGATTATGCTAACTTTCTTTCCCCGATGTTTCTTTTAGTAGAATACTGAAGGCAAAACTAAAGGGATGGGACCTTTTGATGCTGGTCTATTAATTTGCACAGGGAAGTGGTGGGGGTGGTGGTAGTGGTGTGTTTGAAAATCAACTCTGGACTTTGTTCCTGAAGGCAACCTATCTACCAAATCATGTGCTGCTGTCATGTGCTGCAACAAATATTGCTGCAAGCTTGACAGGGATTTGAGCTTAGAATACCATAAAGATTCTTCTTAATACTGTTCTTTATTCTTAACCTGATCTCTCTGCCTTTCCTTAGCAGTGAAGGAGACTGTCTCTGAGAATGATCTCTATGGGAGACTTTTTATAAACAGAGTTTTCCACATCACTGCAGAGAAGATGTTTGAAATCCTTTTCACCAATTCTCACTTCATGCAGAGGTTTCTCAGTTCCAGGAGTATAGTAGGTAATAAACTCTTCTCCCTTCTGTATATGTTCCAAACTACCCTGAAAATTTTTACCTGTGAGAATTGTTAAATAGGAATAATCTGAATTTTAAGTCTCTCCTTGCTTTAAAAGAATTGTGAAGCTTTAAACTTTAACTATGAGAGAGGATATTTAAAGCTAGACTGTTATTTCCTTAGGTATGTAGAGCTGTCACATTTTGGAGGAAAACCCTCGTTTCAGTGCCCTACAAAACTGCACCTTAATGCCTGGATTTTGAGTAGGCTATTAAGTTGATGCATTCTGTGAGGTATTTCTGATTACACTGTGTCCCAGAAATAGTGAAATTTGTATGTGTCCCAGAAATAGTGAAATTTGTATGGCTGGCACACAGGCAAAATCATTGTGTCCTCCTAAATGATACTCACAGGCTTTAATTTTCTGGATGAGTAAATTTTATTCACTGAGATCATAAGAACAGAAAATTAAGTGAAAAAGGGTAATATTTATTCGGTGTCAGCTTGGAAGGCAAAGTGGCAAAAGCTTTTGATAATGCTGAGGCAATCTATTCAACTTCAAGCATATGGGAAATGACATATTTTCATTTAATTGCTTACTCTTCTCTCCACCCTAAAGTCTCTTTCAGTAGACTCAGGTTCAGCTACTTAGTGCCTCACCTTTGTGAAGTACAATTTTCCCTTTCCTGAAGAAAACCACAACTGTTTGCAATCTGTTTTGTCTCTCCCCACTGCTGTTCTCAAACTGTTCAGATATGATAGGACAGAGAATAATGCCTTTTAGGTAATTTGTTTGAGATTTTGCATAACTTCTCACCTAGATGCTGTATCAACCCCTTGGAATAGAGATTCCAGTGGTAATCAGTTGAGGACTTTGACGTACACTGTAACAATTAACAATCCACTTTGTGGGAAGTTCACAACTGCAACTGAAAAGCAGGTACTGTGTGCATGTGTGTCTGGTGCCCTTTAGAGCAAGGGAGAGGTCAATTCTGTGGTCTGTCCATGGATCTGCAGTTTAAACATAGCATCCCTAAGGGCAGCTTGTTGACCCTCTCACCATTAGTGAGCAAATGCTGATGAAATCAGAGAGGCTTCCTACCTTTACAGATGGCTGTAAACTCCCACAAAGTTTGTGGGTAAAAGTATTAACATCTCTTAGTAACTGGGAGGTGAAGGAGTGCAATGAAATGCTTTCAGTGTCCACTTCTGGGCTCCCTGGTATGAGAGGTGATGAGTCCATAAAAGGGCCACCAAGATGATTAAGGGACAGGAGCATCTGGTTTGAGACTGTCTGAGAGCTGTAAATACTCAGCCTGGAGAGGAGAAGGCTCAAGCGGGATCTGACAATGTATAGAAGCATCTGAAGGGAGGGTGCAAAGAAGTCCTGAGTCAGGTGTTCACCACTGAAAGCCACATATTTCAGTGGTGCCTAGTGACATGCCCAGAGGTGATGGGTACACTCTGAAACACAGGTGATTCCTTCTGAACATCAGGAAGCAGTTTTTTTGTGGAGATTTTTGGGGGGTTTTGTGAGTTTGGTTTGGTTGGGGTTTTTTTTTGTTTTTTGTTTGTTTTGTGGGGTTTTGGGGTTTTTTTGGGGCGTGTTTTTGTGGGGTGGTTTTTTTTTTTTTTTTTTTTTTTGGTTTTGTTTTTTTGTTTTCTTTTTTTGTTGTTGTGACATCTCCTTCCTTGGAGATATTAGGAAGCCACCCAGACATGGTCCTGGGCAATCAGCTGTAGATGGTCATTCCTGAATGGAGTTCTTGGACAAGATGACCACCAGAGGGGTGCCTTCCAGTCTCAACCATTCTGTAATTCTGCTTGGGGAAAGTTGCAGGTCTCAAAGAGCAGCCATTGTCATGAGTCAGTGGCCAGCCTTGCATTTGGTACTTCAAGAGGCAGTGGGGAAGTACTGCTGCTTTAGCAGGAGGCATCTTCTCTTTCCCCACCCTATCTATTCTTGCCATTCTTAACTGGTTTTTATAGTGGTTCTTCAGGCTTTCTCTCTACTTGAGTTTACTTGGAGTTGGTTGATCTAGCCTAAGGAATTCAGGCCAAAAGTGTGTGTGTGGAGGGGAGGGGGGTAAATTGTGTACCGTGAATATACCTTCTTATTTTTATTTTCTTTTATGGCAGATCCTGCATAAGCAGAGCCAGAAAGGTCAGTCTTATCAGGTGGATGCTGAGGTACTGACCCATGATGTCCCCTACCATGATTATTTCTATACTGTGAACAGATACTGCATCAGCCGCACATCGAGTCACAAGTGTCGGTTACGGTGAGCCTGAGTGAGCATGGTGGGAGGGCAGAAGCCAAGGCACGTGTGTCACGGGGAGGTAATGTGTGCTTATCAAAAGTTCTGCCGACAGCATAGGGAATATCAGTTTCTCTTGAAGTTGGGGATCTCTTCCAAAAAGTAAGGTTGGTTTATTTCTTGCCAGATGTATAGTATACTTGTATTTCATTAATGCAGTGAGAAATTAATTCTGACGTTGACTCTGAAGTACAGAATTCATCTTCAGAACTGAACTGGGTTCTGACCAGCCTTGTGTTTTTGAGTGTAGCTGTGTGTGTGTGGGATCAATTGGAACAAACAGATGTTTTATTACATCAATTCAGATATCTTTGCCTGCAGAGGAGGATGGTTCCACAGGAAGGTGCAGGGAAGATGGAATGTACTTAATATTGCAGGGATAGTACTCAAATGAACTCTATTTCAATAGGGAAGCTCCTCTCCCGTTTGTTGAAAACACTTGAAGTGATCCAGTTGCATGTTCAGTGCATTTGTGTAACTTTCTAACTGTGTAGTAATCCTTGGTAGTTCTTGTGCTGTCATTAGTAAGACCTTTTATCTCAAACTTCATCAGCACCTAGGAAAGATAAGCAAGCCTGAACTCTATTCTGGCATATATCAGGCTATAAAAGTAGTGAAGTCTCCCTCTTTACTGGGAGGAGGAGGAGGAGGGAAGAAAGGTCCTTGAACAACTGTTCTGGATTATTGTTTTTTGGGTTGAATCACTTACCCTCTTCGAGAGATAGATTTATCTGAGACACATGCCATTTCTAGGATAGCAGTAAACCTAGGTTTCAACATGGTGCACAGAGCATGCATGTGTAGAATGGAAGGTGCATGGTGGTGTTAGAGCTGGCCTTATACTGTGTTTAAAATGGCTCAAAAATTCCATTTGAAAGATGCTATTTTGTTAGGCAAGAAACACAGTGAGCTTTGGATTTGGAAGATTATTTGAAAAGCTGAAAAAAAAGTGTATTCTAGGATGGTCAGCGTTCTTGACTGAAATTGGAATCACAGGCTATCCTTTTGTCCTTCGTGAAGAGCTTTGGGATTCACTCTGTTGTTAGAAGCAACCCTCTGAAGCATTCTACTCCATTTTATTCTGGAAGCATTATTGATCAGCTTGACCTGGGGAATGCAAGGCAGGAGTGTCATTTCCCCTCTGTCATGCTCACAGAAAGAGTTTCATTTCTGTCTGTTCAGGGTAGGATCTGAGTACTTGATGCATTAGTGGTGATAACGAATTTCACCTGCTGCTGTTGAAGTGCCCAAGTAATATATCATGTGAACACACACAAAGTAAAAGTCAGGACTTTATGATCTGAAAACCTGAAGCCTATTTTAAATGTATGTTAAAATGAGAACACTTCAGAGGGTAGAATTTGTCTGAGTCTGAAGGAAGACACTTCAAAATGTTTCCCATAATTTGTCCAATTCCCATAATTTCCCAAAATTAACCTCAAATCTTCTGAGGCTTTAGCTGGAGATACTGTCTTCGCTACGGTCTATCTCTGGCCTTGCTTCAGTGAAAGAGCTCCCTAGGAGGAAAGCCAAGGCAGTTTCAGTTGATATTTCAGATTATGGATGTAAGCTAGAGGCCTGCTTCTGATAAGAGATTTCTGCTATCACTAGGCTGCCTAGAAGAGCACTCTTTCACTATTGCATTCTGTTTACTAGGGTTTCTGCAGAAGTGAAGTACAAAAAACAGCCTTGGGGCCTTGTCAAGTCTGTAATTGAGAAGAATACCTGGGGAGGAATACAAGAAAACTTCAAGCAACTTGGTGAGGCATTTTATTATTTGTGCTGGAGTAGGAAAGCTACCTTCACGTTTTCACATATATCAAACCTGGTTCCTTAAAGTATGGTTTGAAAAGAGGGCAACACCTAAGCAGGGGTGAAGTCAGAAGTTCCTGCCATCAGTGTATCTGCCAGTTCCAGGGTATGAAAGAAGCCTTGTGGCTTAGTGCTAACAAGGAGCTCTTGTATACCTTGTCATAATTGCTTTCTGGACGAAACATGAGGACCAGCAGGAAAGCTGTTCCTCTCAGCTGCATGTGCTTATCTTTAAGTATTTCCTTGATTGTGTGTATGAGAAGAGAAGCAGTGGCACTTGGCAGGCTCCCTGGCTGTGTCTGTTCACAGCCTGGCCAGCCATGGCTGCAGGCTCACAGTCTAACACAATTCCTAGTCTCAGTCTAACAGTGTCTTGCAGTGCTCTTCCAACTGCTGTCTTGGATTTTGTTCGACAATCCTGCGTAGGCTGAATGTGCACTGTCTCTGAAAACTGTTCTAAATGCCCTCTAGCAAATAGGACAGGTAGTACAGGTCAAGATGTAGTTAGTCAATTATCTGCTTTAAGTTCATTTACTCGAAGGTGCACTTATTCTTCTTACTGCCACCCTCCATATCTCACAATTGAAGTCTTCAGTGCTAAGCTTTTCAGCTTTCCTGTTGACAGTTCAGTAACCTTATTTTTTCCACCACAGAATCAGATCTCCTAATGGAGGAATATGCAATTAATCAGTCCATAGAAGACTCTGGAAAATTAGTTGCTCTGAGACGAAGGCGACGCACTTTACACAGGGGTCTGGCAGAATCACTTCCCAAACGTTCTTCCCAACATTCCTCTGCTGACATGGGAGTAGAGTCCCAAGGCAGCTTAATAGGTAAGAATTTTTATATCAAGTGTTTTCCAAAAGGTGTGTTCAAGAAAGCATAACTCTTAAAATAATGCAAGAGTACCAGTTGTGTGTGTATTACTCTTGCCTTAAATTGGTGTAATAGGAAATGCTTCACCTTGTTCAAGCTTGCATAAAACAGCTTTGGAACATGCATAGTCACTTTTATGATGGGTATCTCATGAAATTAAGCCTAATATCACCTACAGTTTGAAAACACAAAAATCAACCAAAACCTAAAATGCTGCACTGTAAAAAAAAATTTCACCTGACTGTTGTCAAGTTTCTGCAAAATTGTTCTGTTTCTTCAGATAATTGCACATCCAAATCATGAGATGATTAAACTTTGTCTCTTGCCTCTTGGCCCTGTCATCTCATTTTTGGTTTCTGGTTGTTTGGTTTCGGTTTTTTTAAATGTTAAGTAGTTTGTTTCCTGTCTGCTTCTGCAATTTCTGGGTCACTGAAGCATTTCTTGCAGTTCCACTGCCCTTAGGTACAATAGACTTGGCCACTTGCATTTACAATATTCTCTCCACTTGGGAAGATGCACCAGTGTGTGCCAGAGAATGGTGGATTCCATGACAGACGTTGAATTGTTAACACTGAAGTAGGAGCTAGTGCTCTTTCCTATAGAGGGAGGTAACACTGGGTAGAGCACTGAGAGAATGTTTGGACCAGCAGCACATGTAAAGGATTCGTTACTTAACTGAAATTGCTTCCTGATTACTTAATTTTGCTACTGCTGCTCCACCTTTTCAGAAGTGTGTCTGTGTCTATATACACTACAACATTTTCTCGTGTCCTTCGTCCAGGGCAGAAGTGTGAATGCATGAAACTGTAATTATGTTTAACAATCAACCTGCCACAGTAGTAGGTGGTTGCTGCTCAGTTTGGAGAGGACATGCACACTTTCTCTCACTCCCTACTGTCTGGTCCCTGTTGCCTGATGAATAGCAGATGCTCTTTTGAAAGGCTGTCTTCAGGACAATAGATAAACCAAGCCAGTAAGGATGGTACAAATTACAGGAGAACTTGATTTGACACTGGTTGTCAGAAAGATTAATGTGAACAGGAGAACAAGCATAAGAGAGAGCTACTTTGCAGCCTGTCTCTGCTCATGTGACTGGCAGTGTGTGTGCTAAACGCGTGTTAGTAATGGATGGACTGTAGCCTTCTCAGGCTATCTAGGTTTGATGTGACCTTGCCGCAGCACTGTGTTTGCCCCAGCATACTGAGGCAGAGGCAAGTCTGATGGAAGAGCCTGGCTGTTGTTGGAGATAACTGCAAAAATACCTTGGTGTATGTTGGAGATGATCCTGTGCACCCATATGATCTGTTATTTTTTTCCATCAGAAGCTGTTGGGCTATTCTGTGTGAAGTGCTGGGCACTGATATGTATCTGCAGGCATCCTTTAGGAATGTTCTTCACTACTTTTTAACCTCCTTCTCTTCCATGCCCTATAGGAAGGAAAAGAGATGCAGTAAGTAGGACCACCACCATCATTGTAGTAATGAGTGTCTTGTAAGTACTCACTTGCATTAAAATGTGGCTTGACTCAATCTCATCTTGGTCATTATCTGTACTTGGGTGTACCTCATTGGCATGCTAACATTTCAAGTAGCATGATAGATCTTAACCTAATTTGGGTGGAACACGTGGGTTTATCAGGGGAATGCATTGACTTAAGAAATGACACGTGGAATGAAAATGCTGACTTGCCAACCTAGTCTACCTTACAGGTTTACTTAGGTCTGATCCTATTAAAAAGAAAAGTCTGGAACTTAATACTTTCTAGTTTTAAAAGTTCCAAGAAGAGATACTGTTGTTGCAGTTTGTTCCTGATAAACAGCTTAATTCCTGAGTAACAATAACTGCTAAGAATTCTTTAGATAGATCTTTGTTTTTAGTATAGTCCTGCCCCATGCCATTTTTTCTCCCAGAAGGATTCTGTTTCCTTAACTGTTTTTGAGCCAAGATCTTGTTTTTGTACCATTGCAACTGAAAGTGTTACAGGACTTAATTTTTTCTTCTCTCTACAGTTTGCTGCTCTTGGTCTTGCTGAATATAACACTGTTTCTCAAGCTGTCGAAGATAGAGCATGCAGCTCAGTCACTCTATCATGTCCAGCTTCAGGAAGAAAGCTCTTTGAAGTAAGTTGAATTCACAGTCCTGGCTTGCTTTCTTCCTTAGCTTATGTGAGAATCTGATCAAAAGAAGTAAGTTTTGAACAATGAAACTTGGTGGCAAGTTTTCAAAAGTTGCTGGGGCTTGTTGCACTTCTGTGGTCTGTGTTAAAATCAAGTGACATGTCTGACTGCATCTTGCAATAATGAATTTCTCCTTTGACAGGATGTTTCTTGGGTGAATGTTAACCTTAGCTTGCATTTATCACTCTGCTGTGACTCATCTTCTGTGAATATGATAGTGCTGATCACAGAACCAAAGTGTTCATCCTGTGTGAACCAGCATGATCTCAAATTTAATGTTAAAGATTCATTTAGCTTTTCAGCCTCTGAGTCTCCTGCTAAATCTCCTCTCCCTCACAAACTTCCATGTTAGGTGCCTTTTGTATTCGGATGCAGGAAGAGGCTCAGATGTTGCTTCCTCTCTTGAATATGGTATCAACAAGTAAGTTAAAAACTATAACCTGATCTTGAGACTGGAAGAGATGTGGTGCCCTCCCATAGTGACCACCTCAGAACTGATTAGAGCAACTTCCTTCATAAAGAGCATGCTCTCTTAAGTTTGAGAACTTAGGTAGTGGATGCAAAGTGAGCACACCTTTTTCCTTGACTGTTGTCTACAAAGGTCTGAGGTTGTATCTTCAAGGCAACAGGGATTGGAATTCAACTGCAGACAGCTTTTTATGTGGTGTTTGAAAAAGGATGATTTTAGCAATGACAGAGCAATGGTGGCGGAGAGCAGTTGATTTTAAAAAGGCATCGAGGTGTTTGTTTCATATTGCTGATGTAATCTCAATCTCTTTCAGCATATCCCCAGAAATGGTATCAAAAGAGGAGATCCCTCAATATGATAAGGAACAGGTTAAACATGTGAAGGGAGTTTTACGAGACTCAATTGAAATGCTTGAGCAGGTAGGTCTGACAATCTTTCCTGGTGTTGTTCTGGTTTCTCAGCAACTCAAGTTTTCTTCCTTATGCTATCATAGCTTTTGTTTGATGTGGTCTGGTGCTACCTAGAATTTACTTGATTCTTTGATTTGTTTTGCCTTAGGCTTGAATTAGTAAATAGGCAGTGCTTATGTTTCTGATGTTTTGAGTTGGTTTGGTTGGGGTTCTTTTTCTTGGACGAAGATGTAAATATTCATGTCAATTTTCTTAAACTTGTCAAGTACATCAGTACAGTTTCTTAAACTGTATTGATGAGATGTGTTGACCATGACAAAGCAAAGACTAGAATATTTCAAAACAGGTTCTCATTTCTAAGAAGACTCGTGTTAGGACTTAGTAAGTATTTTCCCACCTCATTATGGGGTTTTGCCATTCAGGTTTATCCTGCCTTTTGCTTCCCACTGCTCTTCTAGATATTGGCAAGAGCTTCACTTAGTCTTGGTATCAGTGAGCCACTAATCTCCAGTGAAAAAAAATTCTGCAGACCATACGTTTCTGAGAGGCTCCATAGCTATGGAGTTAATCCTCCTTCACAGTAACTTACAGTTCCAGGCTCTTGTATACTACAGGCACTATAAAAAAAAAAAAGGCTAAATACATGAAGTTGTTGAATATTGTTGTGTCTTTCTGATCCCAAAGTCCGTGACTGGTAAATCTCTGGGTTGAAATTTCAACTCAGTAAGTGAAGGACAGTAAATTCATGCTGTGGTTTGTACTTAAAACCTATGAATGTTCTGATTTAAAGTTATTTTATTACATCTTAAAATGCGATGGAAAAAATTATTAGATTAGGAAAGCTGAGTTCATCTACCTCTGTCCATCACCAGCCAGTTTTGTGTTCTCGCACACACTAAAGGAGGGTAGAAAAAGAAGCTGGTTTTTATACTCCTTGTTTAGAGGTGTCTCTGCACATACAACTGCTATTAATCTATTAATTAACCTCTTTGATCACAGCTTGAAAAAGCTTGAGTGCTGGAAGTTTCACTGTAGAATCAAAATCTTCTGGTTTCCATGCCCTTTTCATTTTTTTCTGCTTACTATCCAAACAATTCTTAATTCTGAAGTGTTAAAGTGCTTTTTGAACACACAGACTGCAAAAAAGAAAAGTGAGAATTTAACCACCTTTTACTTCCCAAATAACACTTTTTGTCTGGAAGTCCTGACACATCTTGGTGCCTGTTACCTTGTGTTTTCCGAGAGTTGTCAATAATCTAAACACATTTTGTGCACCAGAGTGCACTAGGAGAGCCAGGTATTAAAAGAAAATTCATGTTTTGCTGCCATGTTCCTTGGAGTATTTGCTATGAACATTATCTGTGACTAAGAATGAGTGCACTGTTGTCTGGTGAGGTGTTAAGACTTTATCATCCTGGACTGTTAGTATTTATAAACTGTACAGAGTATAGCTGTTAGGAGAGAGAGCACAGTAAGCCAACTGTTTATGGAAACAGGGAGGAGGAAATCACATGAAATCTTTAAGAGAAAAGGAGAAGGGAGACATGATTTTTTTTTTCTGATATCACTCACCCATGCAGGATACTAACTTAAGTAATTGGAGGGGGTTATCATGGTTGTATCTTCACAGCTGAAGATGTCCCTTTCCATGCTCCAGAGAAGCTTTGACCACTTGAACAGGACACAGAGCAGCAAGACTGAGAGCTGATACCCACATCAGCTTTTCCTTCAAGATGTTGGAAGGACAGATGTGTGTGTGAGGGCTTGTGGGGTAGGGATTGTAACTGTCACCTTTGGACTCTTTACTGTTTGGCTCAAAAGCTGCATGGAATAAAGGTTTATGGAAGTTGGGTTCTGCATTCCCATAGCTGGGCAGTCTTGTCTTTCCTGCCAGCCCTCTACCCTGGGGAGTCTCACTTAGAAACAGTGCAAAGCTCTCGGATGCCATGGTGAGTGAGCAAGGGCAGTGGTACTGCCAGTTAACAGATCTGCAAATTTCAGAGTGGGGAGAAGACCCTCAGCAGAGCACTGGGCTTGTCTTTATGAAATCACAGCTTTTTACGTCAACTTAAAAAATGACCATCAGCGAAGAGCGTTTTTTGAAGGAAAAGAATGGTAGTGGTTTCGCAGCCACAGAATCTTCAGATGCTTTTTTTAGCCGCGGGGACCTTGTAAAACAAGTCACCATCTTTAAGGATGAATATGCCTTAAGATTAATTAACTAAACAGGAAAACGCTTGCTATCTCTTGCATACTGCAAGCTTTGGCAGTCTGCCTCCTGCCATATGTTTCTAGCTCTCCCAGAGAAATCTCAACCCTCGGTATTTTCCCCTCCATCAAGGGCTGCTCCTCAGTTCTTTAGCGCACCGTGTGCCCACTGATGATGAAATAGCTCGGAGCCGATGAAAAAGGTTTTTCCAGAAGAAAGAGATGAAAATAAA